TCGGTCGTGTCTAACTCTTTGTGACCCTGTCTGGGGTTTTCTTGGCAGAGATACTGGAAGGGTTTGCCATTTCCTTCTCCAGCTCATTTGACGGATGAGGAAACTGAGGCAAACAGGGTTAAATGACTTGCCCAGGCTCACACAGCTACTAAGTGTCATAGGCCAGATTTGAACTCGGCAAGAGTCTGGTCTGGCACTTTTATCCACAGGGTCACCTAGCTGCTGCCCAGGGAAAGACAAGACACAAACAAAAGTTGAAGAGAGAAAAGGGGAGAAAGCTTCCTGTCACTAAGGGGCATGGTGGAGTCCAGTCCAAGGAGTGCAGCAGCTCATGGGAAATGAAGAGTTGGTTGGCCTGGGAGCCCTCTTTAATGGAGGCTTTGAGCGCACGCGCATGTGCACACACACACACACACACTAGACCGTGAGCTCTTTGAGACTAGGGACTTTTTGATCGTTTGTTTTTCTGTGCATTTTGCTGTTGTTTATCTCCAGCACTTAGCACACCCTTGTTCAATGATCCCTCTATACATACACTTACATATCTATACATAAATACGTACACATCTATGTGAATACACATACACATGCTTGAACATAAAATAAATATCCAACCTTAGAGGAAAACACACAGGCTCCCAGCTCAGTACATGACTGCTGATGACATACCGTGGACACATTATACAGCCTGGCAATGATTGGAAACCCAGCTGGATGCTGTCCATCCACTTGCAGTGTTAAGAAAGAATGTGGAAATGATTCATTAGTGTTGTTTTGAGTAGTTTATATGAACAGCTTCTAAGCAAATCCTAAGTTGACCTAAACAGTGCCCGTCCTCAAGCGAAAGACTAACGGTCATAAACAGTCTCTCTCCCCTGCCCCCAACCCCTCATAGAATTTCAAACTAGAAATCCCAGCTGGGTTCCTCATTACCAATTTGAACTTGAGAGAGACACTACCTCCCTGGGCCTCTGCTGGGTCTTGAATAAAGTGAGGGGGTTGGATAACCCGACATCGGAGTTCCCTTCAAGCTCTGAAAATGTTTTGATCTCATGATCCTATAAACATTTATCTTTCATGCTTGAAACTTAAACACAAATACATGTCTTTGGGGGTTTGGGAACCAGGAAGTGGCAGAGACCGTAAATTGTCAGATGGGAAAATCTAAATGATTAACATAACAAACCGTTGAATGTTGAGGTCACTCTTGGCCTTAGCCAAATCTGGTAAAGACTGGAAGGTAGTTGTTCACATGATAGATTGAAAAATAGCCATAATAATGTTAATTAGTGACTTTCTCAAACACTGTGGCTTGAGGTTGAGCTAAATTGGAATAAAAATTCAGATATCTTTACTTGAGAATTTTATTCAAAAGGTATTGAAACAAAATCGGGATGTGCTGGTGCCTGGAACAGCTTGAGTCCATGGAGCTGATATAAGGTGTAGAATGTTTTCCTGAAAAAGTCCCCCCTCTATATTCATATTTTCTATGAGATTTGACACCATTGTCATTCCAGGGAGGGTATATAGATGTGAGTCATGGGAAAGCAAGGACAGAGGAATGTGTGGTTCAGTATGCAGGGGCAGTGCTCAAGCGGACTCTCTTTATTAAGAATTCTCTCTTACTCTGTAAATGTGATCATCCCTGGAGATCTGGAAGGGATCTTAGACGTCTTTGTATCCAGCCCCTTCATTATACAGATGAGGAAACTGAGAGACAGAGGTGAAGTCAGTCAACAAACATTTATTAAGTGCCAGGGTCATCCAGCTAGTAAGTGGCCGAGGTGGAATTTGAACCCACATCTTCTCGATTCCCAGTCTAGTACCTTATCCAGGGTACCACGCTTTCTCTTCCAAGAGCTCTTGAAAATCTCAGATATTTAAATAAAACCTTTCTAGATGTCTAGAGTTAACATGTCGTAGTAAATAGAGTGCTGGCCAGAGAAAGCTGGGTTCAGATCTTGCTTCTGTTACTTACAAGCTATGGGACCCTCTGCAAGGTGTTTTCCTCTCCGCCTCAGTTCCCTCATCTGTTAAACGAGGCTAAATGGAACCTACCTCCCAGGGCTGTTGTTAGGCTAAGAGGAGATATGTGAGTGTTATAGAAATATCAGCCATCGTTAGCATTATTATCAAGTTTTCCCCCATTTTCCCCCTGAATGTGCAATATGTGAATCATTTTACACTGGGTACTACACACAGAAACTCAGAAACCTTAGTCTGATGTTCACCCTTCCTGTATTTCCATCCTTAAAGGGCTCTTGAGTTTTGAGTATGGTCCTTCCATGCTTAAAGGGCCTTCACCCCATGTAGGTGGATGCTCCTTTTAACAATGAAGATCCCTGTCCTTCTAGGACGTAGTAACTGGTGAACGGTTCACCACCTAGGAACCACCTGGGGATGGCTCTTCCAAATTAGCTCCAGTGATTCTGGGGTGACAGTCCATCACTGGGATCTTCGAATGGCCCCTGAGAGCCTACGGCTACGAGGCCCTATGACGCGGCCGCTGCAGTGGTGAGCATGAGACCAGCTCCATACTCTTCACCCAGAGGCGCATTGAGGAGGCGGGAGACAGCAAGATGGCAGAAGCTCCGTTTATTATTAAGTGCTAGTAGCTTTCTTTTATATCCCTAGAAACACCTGATCAAAGCATGATCTCCACGTGATAGCCAATCACCAAGTCTGCTGGACACCTGCAGCCTCGTGTCAGGGGTATGAGTAGGATTTTTCTCCCAGTGAGAGGAGAGCCGAGCCAACCGTGGGAGCTGCGTGTCAGCAAAGGAGAGGTCTTGTGAGACTTCCTTGTTTTTGCCACGCAACAGGTTGTGACCCTCAGCTTCTGCTGAGAGACGCTAGAACTCCCATGAGAAAATTACCCTAACAGTCCTAGAACCTCATAATGGAGGAATGTGTGCCTAGAACCTCAGTGCAAGAATATTAAATATTAAAATGCTCAAGTTAATTTTAATAGTTCCATAAGATATGACAATAAAGTAATGAGAATGAAATGTATAGATCATGAGAAAGCATGATCTCTGAAAAAATAAAAAACAGGCACCCAAAGGACAATGGAGAGATAGGTAGTGAGGTATTGACAAATTTAGACACTACTCTTCACAGATTCCTACACTTGGAGTTGGAAGGGACCATTGAGGCCAACCCCCTCATTTTACAGATGGGGAAACTGAGGCACCAAGAACACAAGTGACTTGTCCAATGACACACATAGAGTCATAGATCTAGGTCTGGAAGGGACCTTACTGGTCATTGAGTCCAACCCCCTCATTTTACAGATGGGGAAACTGAGGCATAGAAAGGTTAATTGATTTGCCCAGGGTCACATAACAAGTGTTATCTGAGGCAGAATTTGAACCTCAGGCTTCTGATTCTAAGTCCAGCCCCCTGTCCGCTGTGCTACACTGCTGAGAAGAAGAAAAATGGAATAGAAAGTATCAGGGCATCTGTGTTCAAAGAGTGTGCTCTGAAGGCAGTTCCAAAAGAATTAGTAGAATGTTTCTAGGTCGTTGGATGCATCGTTGCCATAGTGGAAAGAGCAATGGATTGGGAATCCAACGTTCGAATCCCAGCTCTTCTAGTCGCTACCTGTCAAATCATGTAGCCTTCCTGGGCCTCGGTTTCCTATGCTGTAAGATAAGGGAGTTGAACTAGCTGACCTTGAGGCCCCCCATAGTTCTGTCCCAATGATCCTATAGTATCAGAGAATGTTTCGAGCCTTTCAAAGGTGCTTCTTTGAAGCTGAATGTATGAAGGGGGGACAGTGACTTTGATTATCTGTTCATATGTTGTATCTTCCTTGTTTAGGGGTTCTTAATCTTTTCTATGTCCTGGACCCATTGAGCATGCTGGTGAAGCCCATGGGCTCCTCAGAATCATATTTATAAATACATAAAATGCAATTCATAGGATTCCAAAGGAAACTAGTTATTATAATGAAATAGTTAGAAGAATATTAAACAAGTTCATAGACCCCAGCTTTAAATCTCCTGTCCTTGTAGAATATGAGTTCCTTGGGGAAAGGGAATGTTTCTCTTTTGACTTGGTGTCCCCGTACCTTACCCTTAATAGGCACTTAATGAATACCTGTTGAATGAATGAATGAATTCTCATGTGACGATAGTATGGACCCTCCCTCTGGTCACCTGCCTTCTCTGCTCTGGTCCATTCTGTCAGCAGAGTCTCACAAGAATTCACCATGTTCTCTGCATCTTCCAAAGCTCTTTGGGAAGGGAGGACTGGAATTAGGAGACAAAATCTCTGCCCTCAGTTAGTTCCTAGTCAAGCGTGAAGAGAAAGGCTTAAATGTTTAGTGAGTGAAACCGATGCTACAAAGGGATGTGGGCACATGTGCTTAATTGTGGAGAGCTCTGGAAGGGTCCTCAGAGACCATCCAGTCCAAGCCCTTTGCTTTCTCGATGAGGAAACTGAGATCCACAGAGAGGAGGTGACTTACACAGAGTCACTATATAGGCTATAGACTATAGTCTATAGGCAGTGAGAAGCATAAGTGGAATTTGAATCCAGGTCCTCAGACTGTGCCATCGTGCTTTCTAGTACCCCATGCTGGCTGCCTCCCTCCTGAGTGTTGACCCAGCATTAAAGGCGGGGAGGGTTAACTGAAGATGGGGATTGGGAGGCTAGCAGCTGGGAACTGCCGGATTTTGAATGAAACTCAAAACAGTCCTTGTGCCTGGGGCCAGCTGGGTGAGTGGATTCAGGCTTTTCCAAGTCATATTTGTCAGCATTTGTTTCTGTCTATGACTGCTTCTATTTCCCAAAACTTTGAAAACTAATTCTTAAGTTTCTTGCTGTCAAAGAGGAGATCAATTGATTGATTTTGATGCATTTTCCAGTGCCAGAATCATTCCTCATGTTAATGAGATAAGGAGGAGGTTAGATTCTTCTAATCTTGTAAACCCCAGAAGAGGAAATCCATCTTTGTACCAGCAGGTTATTTAATTCAATTTATTTCTTCTTCGTAGGATCCAAGGTTCAATGCGGAAGTGGACCAAATCACAGGCTACAGGACCCAGAGCATTCTCTGTATGCCCATCAAGAACCACAGGGATGAGGTGAGCTGATGTGCTGTCTGGCACTGACGGGTTTCCTGCTTCGCTTTGCTTCCTGAAGCACAGGAGGTGTTTTCTTACTTTGTCAAAATACAGGAAAGTAACTACACGAAATTAACAAAGCAGGGACATTGTGAGTCTTCTTTGTAATCAGGCCAGGCATCATTTTGCGTCTTTATCCTTGGTACTGCTATCACCTTGGCTCAGTAAATGATTTCAGGCTATTATTTCCCCCATTCAACCTGATTTCAACCACACCCATCTAACAGTAGTGACTTAGAAGAGAATCCTTTCATATTCTGTAGATCCTTAGTAAAGTCTATTCTGTGGACATCCCTCTGACTTCTCAGCTGGTTTCAATGAATTTTAAATGAAAAGGAAAATAGACCAGGTAGAACTTTTTTCCCCCAAAGATTTGAAATTGTTGCTAATTTTAGGCATGCATTTGTGGCATGTCGGGAATGGGTTGGGCGAGTGTGGGTCCATGTGGGTGTGTGAGAGAGAAAGAGACAGAGAGAGAATGTAGCTAGGTGGATCCAGCAGAGTTATCCATTGCCATCCAACAAACATTAATTAAGGGCCTGTTGTGTATAAGATACTGTGAGGCAGCTGTTGGTAATGCAATGCCACCCTGGAACGAATGAATGAAAAAGCATTTATTAAGAGATTTCTTTGTGGCACGCATTGTGCTAAGCCCTTGGCGTACAAATGGGAAGTCTATACCATCAAGGAGTTCATACTCCAGTCAAGACAAAATGAAATATAGCTTCTACCCTCAAGGAGCTTGCCTTCTACGGGGAGAAACAAATCCCCAAATGGGAGAGGTAGCCAGGGAGGGGCACTTTGGCTCAGAAAGATAGGACTGTTAGTAGGACCATAAGGGAGTAGAGGGATGCACCCTAATAAGGGATTTTATTGTGTTTTATAGTAGGGAGGGAGGAAGGGTGGTGAAGTATGTTTGATCAAGGGTGAATACTTCTACATGACAGACATGTAGCCATCACTGGATCAGTACCTGAAAGCTTTCTAGCTTGGCCAGCTTAGTATAGATGGGGAAACTGAGGTCCCAAGAGGTTAAGTGACTTGCATGAGGTCATATAATTCATATGTTGCAGAGCCACAATTTTAACCAGGTTCTCTGACTCTAAAATTAATGCCCTTTCCTCTATCCCACAACTCAAGACATGTCGCTTTTTTAACTACTAATTTGATCCAATGTGATGATGACAAAGTGATTTCAGAGATGCAGGTAGCAAGGCCAACTGCTACCCTGAAATCAGTACTTAGCCCTGCCCAGTACCTGTTTTTCTGCTATTCAGTATGTAAATCCTCCCATGTTTTCTTGGTAATGGACCATGATAAAAGAAAGAAGATTCTTTCCCTCACCCTTTCTCAAAAAGAGGGAGAACCGGTTGAGTAGGTTGAGTAGGTTGTTTGACTTAATCCATCTTCAACCACTCCGTCATCATGGCAGGGTGGCAGAGGAGGTAGAACCTTGAATTTGAAGTCAGAGTTTCCATCATCCTAATTACCATCTGTGTGACTTTTGACAAGTCAGTTTCCTTCCCTGGGCTCCAATGTCCTCATCTGTAAAATGAAGGGGTTGGACCAGATGACTTCTAAGGTGCCATCCAGCACCGACATTCAACAGTCCTCTGTCATAACATGGGATGAGGACAGAATCAGTCAATTTAGCCTTCACTGACTTGTCATATGTGGTAGAAACAGGTTTGCAATCCCTATAGGGATCTTCAAGTTAGACTACTGCTGTGGAAATTGTGTTGGATTTAAAGTCAGAGGGCTGGATTCAAATCCCATTTTTACCCACTACACATATACATATCCTGAGCAAGTCACTTTCTCTGAGCCTTAGTTGTGATATTCAGTTATTTTCATTTGTGTCTGACTCTTTGTGACCCTATTTGGGATTTTCTTGGCAGAGACACTCAAGTGGTTGGTCATTTCCTTCTCCAGCTCATTTTACAGATGGAGAAACTGAGGCAAACAGTGTGAAGTGAGTTGCCCAAGGTCATATAGCTAGTATGTCTGAGGCCAGATTTGAACTCTGAAAGATGAGTCTTCCTGACTCCAGACCTGGCCCTCTATCCACTGCAGTGCCACCTAGCTGCCCTGTAGTCTCATTTCACTCATCTGTAAAATGAGAGGGTTGGATGAGATGACTTCTGAGATCCCTTGCAAAGCTAAATCTATGAAACTCAGATCCTAAATGTCTTAATGCTAGCCATGTCCACTCCAGAGCAGAGCCAGCTGTCACAGCACACAGTTATTTAATAAAGTTTTTCCATTGTTTGTGAAGCTAAACAGTCTAAGCCATATCTCAGAGGGACCTAAAAATTCAGAGAAACAGATTTTTGTGGATGTAACATTAAAGGAAGTTGCAAGCTTCAAAATTACCAACAGATGCATTCTCTTTGCTCTATTTTTATGAAAAAAAATACTTTTTAATGAACAACAATTTTATTTTCTCTCCTACCTCCCTCTCCCTAATGTGTATGTGTGTGTGTGTGTGTGTGTGTGTGTATGTGTGTGTATGTATGTGGAGAGAGAGAGAGAGAGAGAGAAACAACCTCTTTGTGTAGTCAAGCAAAAGAAATTCTTGCATTGGTCACCTCCCAAAATATCTGTGTCTCATTCTCCTGAATCCATCACCTCTCTGTCTGGAGATAGGCAGTATGCTTCATCACTGGGGCCCCTAGAATAATGGTTATTCATTGTGTTGATCAGAGTACCTAAGTCGTTCAAAGTTGTTTGTCTTCACAATGTGTTTGTTATTATATAAATTGTTCCCCTGGTTCTGCTTATTCAATTTGCATCAGTTCATACAAGTCTTCCCAAGTTTCTGTGAAAACCATACCCTTCATCATTTCTTACAGCCCACTAGTATTCCATTACATTAATATGCCATTACTTGCTCTGACATTCTCCAGCTAATGGACAGGCACTCCCTCAGTTTCCAGATCTTTGTCATCACAGAAGGAGCTGCCACTTTTGTACACATGGATCCTTTTTTTTTGTTCTTGGATCTCTTTGAATATGGGCCAAATTGTAGTGTTATTGCTGACTCAGAGGGTATACACAGTGAGAGGCTTGGGTGGCCCATAGTTCCAAATTGCTACTCTGAGGAATCTTTTCTACTTAGTTGAGAGAATGCCTGCTGTCTCCTGTGATGAATGTTGTGACCCAATGTCTGCTGGACAGCAGAGATTTTCCAGGACCAAAGGGATTCAACTCTGCCCAATCTTCCATTTAAAATAGCAACAGTAATCATAATGATCAGCTGTTAAGAAGTCCTCAGCTGCTTTAGGTTCCTTCTCTCTCTAGCATACTGTGACTTTCTTTGATTTTTTTTAAAAATTTGCTTTAAGAATAAGGTCAAATCTTCTTCGTGGTGTTATTCTTCCGTAGGAGGAATCCATTGAGTATTTATGAGGAAGGAAAGAAGGAAGGAAGGAAGGAAGGAAGGAAGGAAAGAAAGAAAGAGAAAGAGGGAAGGAAGGAAGGAATAAAGGAAAGAAGGAAGGAAAGAAGGAAGGAAGGAAGGATGAAAAGAAGGAAAGAAAGAAGGAAGGAAGGAAGGAGGGAGGGAAGGAAACATTTACTATAGCACTTACCATGTGCTAGGTACACATATGCAGGTGAGTGTACTATGTGCAAGATACAGCTGAGGGCTAGAGACACAAAGCAATATGGCCCCTACCAACAGGGAGCTTACATTCTAATAGAGGAAGGTTATACATATAGGGAAGGGGTGGTCATGGAGAGGAGGTTTGGTCTCATAAGGGCCTGGGAAGGAGATTAGAGCTTCCGTGGAAGCGACTAAGATGTCTTTTCTGGGTATGGCAGTGATGATTTGATTATTGCTCTCAGAGTAAGAGGGAATGTATTGACAAGGGCTGGGTAAGGGAGAGAGGTTTGTTGGTTTGGTGCAAAGATGCCCAGAAAATAGGATGGTGGAGACCTGGGCGCCATTGCACATCTGGTGATGTGGGTCACTCAGAACCTAAGGGTTCAGACAAATAGACCATTCTCTCAAAACATATTCAAATGCCCCCAAAAAATAGTTCCCAAGGTGACAAAAAGGTTAAAAAGAAGGGAAAAGCAGATAAATGCTCTCAAGGAGGGGATCCTAGTTCCCCACCAAAGTCAAAAATACTATTTTCATGTTTTTTCCTGCCCGAAGGGCCCACAGCTGGGTCCCAGACCAATCCACTTGGGGGTGAAATTAATACCAACTGCCCCAGGTGTACACTATGGCCTCCTTGCTCCCAAGGATCCCAAGTGGTGGGGTAAGAGGGTGAGAGTTTCCCCCAGTTTCCCCAGGCTACCAACTCACAAAAAGTGTGTGGGAGTGGGTACAGACAGTTCAGGTTAGGGATGGTGAGCTGTCCCCACTCAGGTGTGGGGGCCCTGAGGCAGTATCTACATGCAGTTCCAGGTCAGAGACTGGGGGTGGAAGCAATGGTATGGCATGAAGGTAACAAAATGAATATTTATTAAGTACTTCTTATGTGCTAAGCTCCGTGCTCAGTTCTGGGAACACGGTTACCTCCCCCTATAGAGCTTACATTCTAATTAAGAAATTGACACCCAGAGGGCAGTGGTCCTCAAGAAGGGGCCCTTGGTCCAGGGGCATAGAGCAACCCCCACCCTCATTCAGGAACACTGGCAAAGTTGGGTGGACCATATCATGGTTCCAGAAGTAGAGGAGAAGGGAACTGTGTAAACAATGCAGGAGGCCCAGGTGATAAAGGGAAAGTCTTCAGGGATGACTTTTCTTCACCCTGGCTTTTGTGTGATACCCATATGGAAGCATTTCAAGCAGGAACATGATGGTTTCCTTGGCCCACTGTTCAAGTGCAGAACTAAGACAAATGGGTAGATGGAGTGAGTAGCCAGATGGGTATTATAAAAAATCCCAACAATTAAAACTTTCCCAGCATGAAATGGGTTTCCTCAAGTCCTCACACCCCAGAGAACTTTCA